CCCTGTGTTGACAGTTGTTGAGATAACCTAGAATTCGATAATCCAGAACAGGGTAATTACTGCCCCTTCTCATTTACAATGTGTGATAAGATTGAAAAGCTCCCCGAACCATTTTGTACCGGGCTGAAGAGAAGCAATTTATGAAAAAAGGAGAAGAAGACCGAAGAGCTAGAGATCACAAACTGCCTCACTATATACCTGCCAGAGCACAAGGCAGATGCTTTCTTTGTAATTACAATCAGCTACAACAATGGATTTAACATCTCAAATTTTCTTGGTTTGAGAGAGCCAGAGATTTTAAAATCAGAGGAATATCAGAAGAAGCTCTCTTAAGAGATTGATTCTATCCACAGTTGAAATGTCATTTGCTCTGAATCATCACTTATTACTCCCTCTTTTCAAACTTAATTTTTGCCTTCAACACATAACATCAATATCCTTCAAGTACTTCTTTCATTACTCTTCCATCTTCTGATTCTAATGTGTCGATGTGCCTGCCTTCACTGTCTTCAATATGGCATGATCTACCTTTAAAAGTCATAATCATATCTTCCGATATCTCAAATTTAAACACTCTGATGTCCTCCCACTCTCCTCTGAGTGCCTTATTCCCTAGAATCTCAGACATTATCCTTCAACAACCGGTAAGACAAGAAATTTGAACGTCGGTTCTCGCGACAACAATGGCCTTTCAAGGTAGATGTGAAATATCGTGTTTAGGTCGTTCTAACTTCTTGCAAAGGAGTTCAATCATGACTAGATGCCACTCTGAACCAGGAGTTTATTCGCCTACACAACATCAGTAGCTGTGAAGACAGGTAGTAAAATGCATAGTCACCTTTGCTTATGTAGATGAATATAAGCTGACTTTCTCCGGCCGAATTCTGGGGGTGTGTGAAATGAGGTTTGTTGACAGACAGGTTAGAACATTTGGTTCACTTGTTGGTGGCGCAATATCAGATGAAGATTCTGGGATAGCAATGACGCTCGGCTTTCAGCGCCAGAAATACGGAGTGCACACGATCTCCCTGTAGGAGGGGCTGCAACGTTAGTGGGGCTCGAGTGCCATGTGACTTGCTCCAGCGATCCCGATAGTTGGCCGAAAAGACCCTAGTAGATTTGGGCTCCAATGCGTTCAGGCTGAAACGAATCATTGTCTCTTGGATTCCAATGGCAGATGTGGTGTGCTCATCAATAGTCGCAAAATTCCAGTGGTGGATATGAGCTTTCAAAGTGGTGGATAAGTGACTATTCTGGAGACAGAAAACTCGCCACGAGATTCTACGCCACCATTGCAAGGGTGAACAGGCCCCGAGTGAAGATAACACACAAATTCTTCCTAATGACAGCTTAGTGCCTGTGCTGAGAAACCAATGACAGCTTCGGCATTGTCGAAGCTCATTTATGAGGATAATTTATTACAAAACGGCCTTTACTTCCCCTTCTTTCCATTTAAGAATTTAAACACTCTATGACCGCCATATGCCTTCATCACATGACTTTAGGTTATCCTGCAAGCCTTCTGAAACACCACCTTGTCAGTTGAAGAAGCAGAAGCTCAGCCAGTCTTATTGAGATAATCTATCAGAGGTTTGGTTAATCAAGAGTGTGATAAAAGAGTTAGACTGAAGAAACAGCCCTCAAAGATCATTGTGAAAGCTTCATAGACCCATCACTCAACTGAAGCATTGTGAACTGGTTTATTTTGCTCCGGATATTCTCTGTGATTGTCTGCCTGGTCGCTTAAAGGAGATAGAGAGGCTTTTGAGATTGGGAGGACCTGACCTGTCTGATTTGAGAAATGTATGTAACTGCAACCCAATACCCACCTTGGTGCTAATGTTATCCCAGTATCCTGTCCCCCAACTGATGAGTTCAAGGTCATCCTCTCATCATAGAAAGTGTCGGGCGGAATCTCCTCCATCATCCACCACCGCAAACACAAAGACGACCACAAAAACCTCAAGCACCTCAGCATATAGTAGGAACTTTCAGCAGAATTTAATTGACCATAGAGTCTATCCACCAGAGTATAGGTATCCAGACGGCGAGAAGCCATTAAAACCAAATAACTGGATGAAGTTCAATGAAATGTTGACACAATTGTGAGCTTCCCTTTCTCCCTCAAAGTTCTCTGAGAAGTGCTTTGAAGATTTCAGAGAAGCAGATGCATATGCATCCAAAGAGAAGCCAGTTACAGTTTCAGTAGTTCCAATTCTTGACAGCGATATCAGTGACCTTAAATGCTTCGGAGGGGATTATCCATTTGGAAATCTTGCTCCCTTAACTGATGGCACACTGGCTTCTGCCAGACAAGATCACTTCTATGGCGCTCGTCCTGAACAGCTCAATGGTCAAATCCGCAAGGAACTGAGCAGCCAGATTGATCCGTCAACGCAGGATGACCTCCCAATAGCATCAAACTTCTTTTTAGAAGTGAAAGGCCCTGACGGATCCCTGGCTGTAGCTACACATCAGGCCTGTTATGATGGTGCTCTAGGAGCCCGAGGAATGCATTCCCTTCGGTCATACGAAGAAGACGA